ATATACATATATACTAAAAAAATCTACTACTTACTACTTGCACTTCTATTCCTACTTGGCGGTTTTTCACTTGTCACGGGGCTTCAGGGTACGGATCCCCCGCGATAAACAAGAGACTACAGTAATCCAGCTTAAAGATGGGGACCACAGCTAATCAACATTACCCTAAAAAACGTCTTTAACTCTATTATTTTATATTATTAAATATATATTTTTGAAAAGTTAATTTAATTCAGTAAATCAATTCAAAAAGTGAAATTCATTCTTTCACCACTATGTTTATTTTTGTTCATGTTGATGATTATGGCTTACAGCTAAAGCAAGCTCAAGATGACACATCTCAGAAAACCTTATATAAATTAAGGCCAATAAAAAAATATTTTTAATACAGAATATTTTGCTTACTGAGAAATGTTCATATAAAATACATTATATGCAATAAATACTCGGTTAGGCCTATTTAGCATAAATAGCTTCAGGAATGCAATGTGACAGAGGTAACCAGTCTGTGAACCTGCTGACATGTTGTTTATGGCCATGCACCACCCTGACCCCGTCTGACCCCGTCTGATCGTGGAAGCTAAAGCTTTTCTTGAATTCCCCCCCGGCATTAATAAAGTATCTGTCTGGCTGTCCGTCCATCCATCCGAAATATTGCACAATCCCAGATTGCTTTGATAGCAGCCTTCACCTTTTCTGTATCGTTGGGTTCAGTGTCTCACATCTTTCTCTTGACAAAACTCCTGAGATTATCTGTGGGGTTTATGTCAGACCAGTTTTCAGGTCAATCACGTACATTGATGGTCAATAAGGTTCAAGATTCTTTATTGTCATTCACATCATATGTGGTACATCAGGTGGAACAAAATTGTGTACTAAAGGTCACAGTTACACCCAAAAATATCAAAAAGAGAAAGTATAAAATAAGAAACAATATACAGTAGTCCCTCGTTTATCGTGGGGGTTCTATTAACTGATCCGTGAAAGACAACAAAGTAGGAATAGGAGGTGCAAGAAGGAATAGTAGTTTATTTTAGTATTTATATATATATATTAAGACTTTATAAACCCTTCCCACACTCTTGCAATATTCTAAACAATGTTTCTAAACTCTAAATGCTCTTAAAGAGCACGGAATGTCATGATTTCATCTCCTGCCACGCCCACTTCTCCACTGCAATTACACACATCACCAGATTCACTTCCGTTCTCCCTCCTTCTGTGTAAATAAACAATTAAAATTTAAATACTGTAATATTTTAACAATCCATGCTGCATGAGCAGCAATGTTTATTGTAAATAATCAAGCACAACTGGAACCGAGCCTTTGGTCCATCTCAGCGGACGGCCAGGCCACCGGGAAATGTCCTGATGCTCCGAATGGCCCGTCACCCCAACCTGCTGCAGCTGGTGCTACATTATTTAAAATAATTTATTTTAAATACATTATTTTTTGTGCTGTGCTGTTATTTATTTATTTATTCTGAAATTATTTTGTGTGCTGAGCTTCTTAAAGCGCTGCCCAGTGTCTGCAGATTGTCTGATCGCCTCATTCCTGAAGTTGTTCGGTGTTTTTGTTCCTGCTCTGTTCCTGACACTTCGTGATTCCTCCCCTGTGCCTCGCCCAAGACGGATCCTTCTGCCCATGATGGGATATCTGAACCTCCACGTCTGCTCTACCTTCAGACCATCGATTCCAGCTAAAACCCTCGGATAAGTTTTGTTTTCCTGCCTCTGTGTGAACGACCCACGCCTGTATTTTTGACCACAAACTCAGACCCGGGACTCTAAGAACCAAACTCTACATTCTAAAGTGTTTGTCAGAGTTACGCTCACGCATCACGTGATCCATCCAAAACATCCGTTCCCTCTGACGTCATCGCAGCTTCGGATTCTCCACCGGTGATCGAGCTCTTTGTGTGACAGCTGACTTTCTCCTCCTGATAAAACTTCACATAAATATTTGTGTTCACTCCTGTTTCAGTTTTATGAGGAGGAGGAAGTCAGCGGTCACACCAAATCCAACAATGCCAGGTTCCTCAGACTCAAGTGAACTTTGGTGTTTTGAGCCACTTTGGCATGGCTGCCTTAGAGGAGTTGACGGGGGAGAGGGCGGACCCCGGAGACCATCTTAGCACCAGCAAACAGTTTTTTCTACACTGGGAGTGTGCTGTTTGTGGGATTCAGTTTGTTTGGTGGCTCCTCAGACTGAAGAAGTCCTTCGGATTAAGGATGAAACGCTTCAACAACAGAAACCGTCCAGATGACCTGACTGAACATTGTTGGACTCATACCTGGATTAATGAGCATGTACTTTGGTGTACCTGCGAAATACTTATTCATACTAATTCATCCTACGTACACTGTTATATTCTACCATGTTGTTGTTTACTGTATTTCTTTTGGACCTTGTAAATACTATATTTCTTTTCCCACTTTTTGGTACTTTATTTTGTACTTTTATTGCCTGCTTTAGTATTTCTTGTTTTTTTTTTTTAGCGAGTTGAGTCAGTTCTTCTCATCCTGAACATTTCATAGCATTTTTGACTGTATGTTAACCTGCACACGACAAATAAACATCTCAAATCTGATGTGGTCGCAGCTGAAGTCCGTCACAACACATTTAGCTACTTTGCATAAATTGTGCTTAGTATTTTTTAGGATTTACCAAACTGCCTCTTGGAATATGTTGCACTTAACAGAGACTGTTGTAAAAAGACAGTTTGTTTAACAGATTTGTTGGGGTGGGTTTGGCAACAGGTTACAATATTTGGAGAGAGTGCTGGAGCTCAGTCAGTCGGTCTCCACCTGATGATTCAGAGCAGCGAGCCGCTCTTTAAACAAGCTGTCCTGCAGAGCCTGCCCTTTTCCATCCCACTAAAGACCAGGTAAGGAACCATTTGGCTTAGCTTGAGTTGGAAAGTTCTTTTTTAATCATCAAACACAAAGTTGGCAAACGCATTATTTAATCAGAGAGCTGTTTTCTTGAGCCCTTGCTGCGTTCAAAGCAGGGACGAGTGTCTCTGCACGCTTCGAGCTGAAGTTTGATTTTTCTGCACCTTGTTCCCAGATACGATGCACTGCAGTTGGGAAAAGACTTTGCCGAGCAGACCAACTGCTCTGTGAGCGACTTCATCTGCCTGATGTCTCTTTCTCCACAGACTATCCTGGCTGCACAGCTAAAAACAAGTAGGACGCCACAACCCCTCTGATTCTAGAGCAACTCTCATGGCTGCCCAAGCAGTTACATAAAAAGCCAGGACATAGTTCACTTATCAGCTAAGGAGGATGAAAAACTTACGTTTAACCTGAGATACAGGAAGAGAAATCACTAAAACTGAACAGTAAGCCCCTCAAGGAGCAATTAAATAGATTTTTCTGCCTGATGGCAAAAAAATGGAAGTAATCTATCTATATATGTCAGCGTTATTAATCTTTAATTCTGCATTTTCATCCTAAGCAGCAGTTTTCTGACTCACATTCTGGTCCAAAAGTCATAAAGAAAAGCCCACTGTGTAGAAAATGTTTAAGAGAATAATCTGAAAACATTATGAGTTCTCTTATAATTGTGCCAATTGTTTTTGATTAACCACCACAAAATAGAAATCAGACACTTATGTCTTTTCATCCCAGGTTCTACGATTGTGAACCCGTTCAAGTTTCTGGAGGTTTTTGAGACGTGGGGTCCAAATATTGATGGGGAGCTGATTCGAGAGCAGGCTATCTCTGCCTTTCAGGATGGCCACTGGCAGAAAGAGAAGACCGTGCTGCTGGGTAAGAGACTCGCCGACACAAGAACATAAACAACACTGTATTATTTTTATTTATGAGACCCACGGGTCCTCGTTATAGGGCAACCTTATGTGAGGATTTCAGAAATGTTCAAAAGTTCTAGACTCCAGAAGTCAGGAGTGATTTAAAAAAAATGAAAAATTCCCAGAAAATAGACTGAATCACATGAAAGAGGCAGCAATGCTTTGTGTCCTGCAGGAACGACCTCAGAGGAAGGGGTGCTCTTTGTGTACGGGGTCTTTAACAAACCAGTGTCTGTGGTGGAGTGCACCGTGTATATCGCAGCCATCTTTAAACAACACACCCTCCAGATCCTACGCAAGTACTTGCCCCTGTACAAGGAAGCTGACCGCAGAAACATGCTAAACCAGGTAAGAAGCTCAGAGTCATTAAGGGGTTGCAGCAGCCTCAGTATTCATTGTTCCACATTTACCAAATAAAAGAAAAAGAAAATTGCGAAACCAACAAAGCTCAGTCAGGTCCTCTGGACAGTTTCTTTTTTTGCTGAAGCGTTTCGTCCTTCATCCAAAGGACTTCATCAGTCCCAGGAGCCACAAAAAACTCAGCCCCACAAGCAGCACACTCCCATAGTGGACCAACCAGTTTGATGGTGTTCAGATGGTTTCTGGAGTCCTCCCTTCTTCCCCATTGACTCCTCTGAGGCATCCATTGGCCGTGGCTGCCATTTCATCAAGAATAGCTGTTGTTTTGTTTCAAATTTACACTTCCTTAAAAACTTAGACTGAAAAAACAAAATAATTCCTCTCATGTATGAACGTTTGCCATGTTGTGAACTTTTCTGGCATCAGTGCTGCTGCTTGTATCCTTGAAACTGTCATTAAATCTGTAGTAGAGCTGTCATTTCTAACCCGAACCTGGAGCCCGGCTCCACCCAACCCGGATTGGGACTGGGCCGGGCCATAATAATGTGCTTAATGTGAGGGTCGGGTCAGTGTCGGGCTTTTGATTACGTCACCAGCCGCACAGGGCCATTTGACCGCACGCTGAACGGCCTTAAAAGAGGTAAAAAGTTCAGTTAAGCTTCAGATGGACTACTGCCAGTGATCCATTGTCCAAATGGACGTTCATTCAGCCGCTGCACTCAGAGGTCGCGCGCGGCCGATGATCCATACAGGTGAGATCACAAAATATCCGACATGTCAGAGCAGGATCCGTGTCTGAATAATGCAGAATGCAGGCAGAAGCAGGGATTTAATGCGCTTTGATGGCCATGAAAGGACAAACACCCCCTCAGCGCCGATCTTCTGCCCCCTTTACTCCGCCACCGTCTACTAACCGTTAATAACTATATAAGCAGTCAAAGCTTAAAAAAAAATGTCGGGGGAGGGGGGTATCTGGTTCGGACCTGTAATTATTGTTAATTCGGGTCAGATGTTTTGGGCCTGAGTGCACCAGGAAGCTGAGGTCACACAGTGGAATGGTGGATGGTCTCTGTGGGGGATAAATCCAGAAGTGACGCCACCATAGTGTCAAACATTGCCTGTTTATCTGTAGCCTGCAGTAGGAGCAGGAGCTGTCCTCTCTTTGACTGACAGCCAGCGCTTCCTCTCCCTGCATCATTTGCATGGGTGAAGCATGCAGAACACCTGGGTCTGTTTCAGATACAGCCTGACTGCTCCACTGAGCAGGGACTTGGTATTTTAAGTGGGTCCACAATGACAGAAAGGATCAGCTGAGGAATCACAGCCTGAGACCAGACTGACAGAAAGAAGTGGCGTCATACTTTAGCTTCTGTCCGCAGGAAGTTTTTATAAAACTATCTGGACAGAATCAAACACCAGGATTCTGGCTGCCTTTCATACCAGAAATTTAGAATAAGATCATTTTATCCAACATTTTTCAGTCAGGTCATCTGGACAGTTTCTTTTCTTTGTGCTGAAACATTTCACCTTCGGTTCAGAAGGCTTCATCAGTCAAGGAAATACCCAACAAAACTGATTCTTCTCCCAACAGCTTACTCCAAAGTGGAGCAAACCAGTTTTGCTTGTATACCTGGATTATTGAGCATGGACTTTGTTGTTTTCAACCAGTTTGACACGACTGTCAACAAGGAAGAGGGCCAGCAATGGAGGAGGGTGCGTACCAAAGAGACCATCTTATCACAAGCAGAACTGGTTTGTTCCACTTTGGAGTAAGCTGTTGGGGGAAGAATCAGTTTTGTTGTGTGTTTCTTTGACTGATGAAGCCTTCTGGATGGAAGGTTTCAGCACAAAAAAAAAAAAACTATCCAGATGACCTGACTGAAAAATGTTGGATTGTATACCTGGATTATTGAGCATGGACTTTGTTGTTTTCAACCAGTTTGACAAGATCATTTTATGATTAGAAATGACAAAGATGCAGCCATTTTGGTCAAACCTTGAAGATAACATATTCAATCTTGTGTAATATTGCAAGTTGTGCTGCTCAGAGTTTGTTTTGAATGAGTCTGTACGTCAAACTTTAGCTCAATGTCTATTAAATGAACTGAACCTGAGCCTTTTTTGTGTTTTTAGGGTCAGTTTGTTGTTGTGGTCATCTTTAATAAGTTAGAGTAAAGTGTAGAGGCTCATCTAATGAGTACTTCTTCAAAGTTTTATTTAAATATGTCCAGATTTTTTATGTTCCTTTTTCCAACTGACAGAATTAACTCTTAAATAGAAATCGGCAAATGGATGGATGGTTTTGAACAGTCTGTTAGTGCTCAGCATATGTGTTAGGGATCAGTTTAATTTATACCGAATCAGTTTTTTTTTTTTATCAAAGTCTTTTTATTGTTTATTTTTTATATCAAGAATAGAAACAAACAAAAAGAAACATAAAACAAGCAAAGAAATTCCCTCCCACACCGGATCAGCTCTACAGGTACGCACAAATCATACAGGCACTGACAGTTTCAGCATATGACATAAATGGCCGCCAAGTGTCCCGAAATCTCCCAAAAAGATCCCTCACAGTCTATCTGATCTTTTCCAAATGAATATGATGCAAAACTTTTCTTATCCAGTGTTCATATGCCTTCCATCTGCAGAAAATATACCTTATCAGTTTGATGTACAGTATAGCCATTTTTGTGTTTATTAGGGTTATTTGGCCATAAAAGTATCTAAATTGGGTTTACTTAAAAAAAAAAACTAA